AGGCCAGGAACACACATGCGTAAAATTCGGCGTAAAATCTAGCATAAAACAGAAAACGTAAAAATTTTTCTGAAATTTTGGCTGAAACAAAACTGAAAATAGAGTAGAGCATGTCTCTACTTTTTACGCCGAAAAATTTTTACGCCAAAATTCCTCCAATAAAGAGAAGTCTTTCCTGTGACGTCGAAGTAGACACGTGGTTTTTATTCTAACAATGGCGGCAATGAGGGTTAACCCTACAATTGTGATGGTCTCGAAAAAACGAAAAATAAATGAAATAGAGGAGTTTATTGAATCCGTTCGACCAAATCAGTGTCATGTATAAAGACACTGTATTTAAACAACGTTTATGGATGGCTACAGGTGTTAAATTTCAAATAACAGGTAAGTCTAGTAGAATCGATATATAGGCCTAGTATTTATATCACACGTTCTTTATTTGAATTTGGAATACGAGTCTATTAATTTAAATTTTCTATATTATAGCAGAGGAAGTGTAGAAAAAATGGAAGGTACAAAGGAATAGATAGCCTATATGAGAGGAAAAAATTAATAAAATTAGTACTGTTGGTGGCAGTGGTGTTTTCTATTCGGCCAGAATTTTTACGTATGTGTGTTCTGGCATAAAAGCGTAAAACAGAAACTGAACTGAAAGCTGATTTCTGATTCAGTTTTCTGCCACACAATTTTACGCATGTGTGTTCCTGGCCTTAGGGTTAAAATAAACTGATTTCCTGTATACTGGAGGGAGACTATAAAGTTTATAGCTGCCCTCCCTAATCTTCAAGATCTGGAACAAACTGACACAAAACGTTCAGAAATGTCACTGGCAAGTGACATGACATTGATGGTATAAGATTCTCCTAACAGACCCGGTTTTATAATCTCTCTTTGACCTTTGTCAATGAGATATATATGTTGTTTATGTATTCAATATTTTAAATAATTTATATTTTAACCTTATGCAAGAAATGAGTAATAAATAAATTGATAATATATATACTGTAGAAATTTAATTTTCAGTAAAATAATTGTTTTGAAGTAGAATTACCCTATAGACCACTAAAATATTACCGTGAACCCCAATTTGGTATTTTTTTTTTCTGTGGACCCCCAGTAATGTTACATGGACTCCAGTTGAAGACCCTGAGTTAGACCATCATTTAAATTCATTTTATACTTATTTATTTTAATAATTTCTAAATGTTCATATAATTATTTCAATATTTTTGATTCAAATGGCATTCTCTCAGATCATTAATCAAATTATACTGATGTCTTTTCCACTTGTTTCGAAAATTCAACTTCCACACAATTCTTATTCCAAAAAATAAAAGATTATACAATAAGTCTTATTTCTTGAGGTGTGAGAAAAGACAAAAGAAGACTTATGGTGGAGTTGACCTTTATTATGAGGCTACTTGTCATCCTCAATATGCAAAACACGACAAATCTTCCCTCTGATGATGGCACAAGTAAAAATTATAAGTTAATATAAATTTGATAAAAGGGCTGGGACAGTAAATTTAAATTCACAAAAATAAAAGACTATACAATAAAAGTGTCTTCTTTAGTCCTTTCTCATACCTCGGTTTTTATTCCCAACTGGAAATATGTTCACTCTCATCTCAAATATGTTGACTGGACACTTTTGAGCAGGGAAAGTATAACTTTGCATAAAAAGTATCACATAATTTATAAATACTTTAAATGTAAAGAATTTTGCTTCTTTTCTTTTGTAAAAAAAAGCTGTTTGATAAAATTCTAATTACCTTTGGAACTAACCTATAAGACAGTATTGGAAATATCAGGTCAGTCCATAAGTTCATGCGTATTTTATGTCCTTGAGAAAAATCTTGTTTTGCTGTTTAAAATGCCAGTCTAATGTGATANGTCTTCTCCATTTTTGACAAAGCATGTGCACATTGACTATCTGCTAAGCTGTCGTGGCAAAACTTTACGACAAATCAAGCGGAAATTGGTATCATATCTTTAGCAAGGATGGCTGAATTATTCCCGCCAAAAATTAAATTTATCGCAGCGCCACATATAGGCAAGGCCGCGAACTTTTCAAACAGCCCTCGTACTGGTCTTATGCTTCTTTCTGGTTTGTGTGTCTTGGCAAATCCAAACAGTCTAGGAGCTGATGGAGGGTAACTACTGTCTTCTTCATTCTAAGCTCTTTTGCAAGGGTTTTGTTAGAAAAGTGTTTGACTCTTGCCTTTAACTGCTCCAGTGCATGTGAATGGGCTGTCTTGCATTTTGTTTCTTTTATGTACTTATAATAAAAGCTCATTATATGTAGATCTTTTAATTACCACTATGTCCTTTGATTTGTTGGCTCTTGTAAGTACTATATTATTTTGATTTATCCATTTTTTGCTTTTATATTTTTCCATATTGTGCTACTGCCTGTTCTGATACATTTGTCCTTTATTTTAAATTCTGTTTTCCATCTGAATACCTCTTTATTAAGTTCACTTAGCCCTTCTAATGCTTGTTCTACATCACATCCTTGATTTAGAATAAGCATTAGAAAGGCTAAGTGATCTTTTCGTATGTGAACTTAGGCTGCAGTACAAATTTAGGGCCAAATTTGCAGACCTTGTTGATACATGGTAGTGGTGTACTATTATCCCAGATATGATTGTGGGGATGCAGCCTTATTCTGCTCTGTTGATGCTTCTTTGTCCATTGTTCTTGTATTATATTATATAATATATTATTATATATTGTATCGTTTATGTGTATATTTGTACAAGTAACCTGTATATATTGTATTTTTTATTTACGGGCTTGTGCACTAGACATCTAAGAAAATTCAAACATTTAAAACCAATCCAAAACAAATTTTGTTTTATAGAAATTGGAATTGTTTAATTTTTTTATTCCTAAAGGAGGTCATCCAAATGGCCAAAATGTTTGAAAAGTTAATAAAAAGGCTGCATATTAAAGGTTTTTGTCAAGGTTTGGTTGTTATTTAAGTGCAGTTATAGAAGAGCCATCTAAATTGTTTTATTAATTTTTAATTAAAAGTTTATTTATGTTTGTATGTCTCTTTAATCTGACATTAAGTTCGGTAGACTATCATTGTTCAGTAGACTATCGTGTAGGTCATATTCACTGACATAAAACTATCATACTTAAAAATTGTCACACTTTATACGATACCTATGGTTCTGTCTTCTAAAACCACGGTGTATAATGGGTAACATTGGGAAGATTTTAAAATACAGCCATTAAAAACACCACAAGTACATTTTCAAACATTAATACGGAAAACCTAATATATTAACAATTTTATAATTTTTTACTTTATAACATCATATATCTTAATAAAATACCAATATAACACGATACTCACTTTTAACATGTGCTCATAAAATCTTATATAAGTACAACTTTTAAAGAATATGTATGTTCTACAATATAACGTTGCAGTAACTGCAATTATAATCGTTTTACATTAATTATATGTAATACTTTAACACTAACTTAGTTTCTTGAAGCTTTTTCAGAGTGAGCCAATAAATACTGAATGGTGTTATCCACTGAATACTGGTGGACTCACTCTGAAATAGAGCAAAATTAATAAATAGAAAATCCATAGATTAGGAAATGGTTAACAATTCAAAATATTTCATATGTCCATAGATTAGGAAATGGTTAACAATTCAAAATATTTCATATGTTCATTAAATATGTCCAATAAATACAGCATAATCAAACGTTTATTTTTTTTTTAAATAAAGAAAAGGTAAAGAATTAGATAAGAAGGTGCTAATTTAATAATACATTTATTTTCACAAATTATTATCACAAAATATTTTTTTTGTCTTAATAAATTGCTATTTGTTTCTTGTCTGTTCACCATCAAATTTTTGTTTCTTCAAATAACGAAAACAAAAAAGTATTATCTTAGACACTTTCCAAAAGTTTACTATGCATTATCATTTATACTGTAGTTATTATCCGTTATAAGCACATTATAGTCAGGATTGTCGAGAGCTCATATATCGTGCTCAAGAGTAGATCGGGTTCCGTTTGTCCCTTTTGCCATTTTTGTACAAATGAAAAACTCAGAATGGTGGTTTGTTAATAAAAATCAGCCTTAAAGATTTTATTTTCTGTTAGTAAAAGTGGTATTCATTTATAGGGCTAATTTTTCTCCGGGCCCGGGGAAAAACCACAATGCCCCCCTCTCTACGGCACTGATTAGACTCAAAAATTATTCCGACTTCTGAATTTTTTGTTTTAGCTTTATATTATATATTCGTGCAAAAAACAATAAAAACGTGGCTCCTTTATTATCGACACATTTAACTTATTTATGATGACGTCTATCTAACATAGAAATAATTTCCAGTCAGTATATGAGAGATTGTTCATTCGAATTATTTCTTTACAGAAAATTAACACTACTGTTTGTCAACAGAAGTGTTAATTTTCTGTATAGAAATTTCTCATAAACAATTTCTCATATACTTTAATCTCGATTAAAGTTTATATTTTTTGTTATCTGATTAATACAATATATGCAAAAAGTAATAATGTAGTGATTTGTTTGAGTAATCAATTCCGATGCGTTACCAACGAGACTACAAATAGCAAACGAACTGTAACAGGGAGGAACTGTAATGATGCCATTTTGCGCTTCGAAGAGATTAAATGTAAGCGTTTTTATAATCAGGCGAATACAATTATATTTAATGTTTGTAGTAAATTAATGAATTTGCCTTAAAGCAAATTACGGGAAAAAATCACAGATTTATTTAACTACAGGGTGTAGTATCGTTATAAGTTCAAAAATAAAATTTTAAATATCAGTTAATGGAACCGTTCAAGTATTACATCAGTAAAAGTTAGTCCTTTTTAATTCCCCTTTCCATCACTATTTATCAGAAATGAACGTACATATCTCCTTCCACTAATTAGCCACATCAGAACAGAGGTTAAAACCTTTCGCAAATACACATATTATTTTTAGACAATTTTATTATGACTGAGGAGAAAAATAAGCGATGTGGTACAATCTAACGTCACCAAAGACTCGCCCTCCCTCTCCATCACACAAACAATTGTTAGATACAAATGAATCCTCCTCTCCATAATCTAGTGACGTAATACTTGAATGGTTCCTAACAAATAATTTCTAGAAAAAGAGGAGTAATTTTAAGTTTTAATTAAATATTATTGTAGATTTGTAGTTACTTTTGCAATATAAAAAATGGTAACTTTTAAAATTTATTATTATTTAAAATATATACAGTGAAAACTGCTTAGACGACCACCTGCATTCGACGGGCACCTGTCAAAACGGGCAAAAATTTCTGGCACGGAATAGTTTATCCATAGTCTTCGTATAAGTTACCTGTATTAAACGACCACCTGTGTAACGCGACCGCGGGCATCGATTTTTGGTCCGAAACAACATACAACACCTGTAATAAGCGACCACTTTCGCGAATGTATCTGGTCTAAACTATTGTAAGAACCCATCTCAACAACGTTTCCAT